TACATTCATTGTTTACAACCGATGTGTAAATGTTTATTGGTAAAAAGCAAAAAAACACGGATTCCTCATTTTTTTTGAGCAATCACATCGCGTAAGTGGAACTTAAGTAGGAGTGCTCGTTTATTAGATATTACAAAAAAATGTCGCCTGAAGGGTAGTTCACCGCCTTGGGGGGGTGTAGCAGGACAATATTGTGTTTTCACCGTCCTCATTCACCGTAGAGTAATCAATAGTTATTACCATGGTGATTAAAGTAAAATCTACGACGATGGTTCAATCGAGGAGCAATGTTCCGTACAGTGAATGCATTATCTACAATTTTGTTTGACAGTGCATTACTATACGTGGAAAGGAAAATAGAATGACCATGTCTTTGGTACACAATTGTGTCGCAGTCATGTGTTGTAGATAACGATGACTAATACTTGTCCGGGCGATTCATTCGCAATAGTTTGGAAGCTTACCTTATCAGTGAGCATGCTAGCAAATCCACAATAAGTGACTATCGCCGAGAAGAGTATCAGAAAGTGAACTATGTTCTTCGCCGTCTCCACGTACTCACCAAATGTCAGCATCTATAAAATAAGAGATTTAGTGATCTTCAGTGAATTACTGGTAGATGCATCTTTCTCTTTACCATCTCTATTTGGTACAGACAGAAACAAATGTTAGTAGCAGTCATTAGCGTCGTCAACAATATTATCGGGCTGAATATGTTCTCGATGGCATGGCAGAGACTGAAAGGTACAATAAAAAAGATTAATGTGATAATCGCTGCATATTAATTGTTCTTTCATTGGAACCATATGTGTGGTTAAGGTGAAGTGAGACACCAGTCAAATCAGTCGATTCTAATACAACACTTTTTTTAAAGGGTATTAGACCAAACTGTCCGAAACTTTGACACATCACTCCTGATCATCTAAGAGTTGTCCTGACACATTCAAAATTTGGATTTTTGAAAAAAATTGTTTAACTCAGCCCAGACAAGAACCAAAATAGCGTCGAGCTCTCGATATATTTCTCTATATTTCGATCAATACACAATTATGGAAGGCTTTGATATGAGAATCGAAAGGGTTAGGACAATTTTACGACAATTTAGAACACTCTGGTAATCGATAAACTCGCATTTGAACGTTCTAAAGGCAAAAAAAGTGTTGTATGCGCTTCTATGCCAAAACGATGGGAATACGAGGTCTCGGAGTGACAATTTAATTGACCTGGAAATCACAGATGGCGCAGCGTGTCCCCCTGCAGTTAATTAGTGCCCCAGAAAGCATGAATCCAGAGGATTTCTGGAGTTCTACTTCGACTTCTTGATATTTATTGTACGAAAACGACAGGTGGAGTATGCCATTTGGTACAATATCCAATATAATTCGACTCAGCTGTCAATATAAAAAGGAACGTCGGCAACGTAGGTATTTAGAAAAATGTTCTTTGCCGACATCGATCAAATTCCTCGACGTGTTTCACTTCACCTTAATTAAAGTTTTGAAGTTCCGGACAACGCGTACCTCCGATTAGCTTAAGGTGAAGTGAAACCCCCTTCAAATCAGTCGATTCGAATATAACACTTTTTTTTAAGGGTATGAGACCAAACTGTTCGAAACTTTGACACATCACTCCTGATCATCTAAGAATTGTCCTGACACATTCAAAATTTGGATTTTTAGAACAAATTTTTTAACTTTGCCCAGTCCAGAACCAAAATGGCGTCGAGCTCTCATATTTCGATCGATATACAATTATCGAGAGCTCTGACGTCAGAAACTAAAGGGTCAGAACCATTTTACGACAATTTGAAACACTCTTGTAACCGATAAACTCGCATTTGAACGGGATAAAGGCAAAAAAAGTGTTGTATGCGCTTCTATGCTAAAACGATGGGAATACGAGGTCTCGAAGTGAATATTTAATTGACCTGAAAATCACAGATGGCGCAGCGTGTCCCTCTGCAGTCAATTAGTGCTCCAGAAAGCATGAATCCAGAGGATTTCTGGAGTTTTACTTCGACTTCTTGATATTTATTGTACGAAAACGACAGGTGGAGTATGCCATTTGATACAATGTCCAATATAATTCGACCCAGCTGTCAATATAAAAACCAACGTCGGCAACGTAGACATTTAGAAAGATCTTCTTTGTCGACGTCGATCAAGTTCCTCGACGTGTTTCACTTCACCTTAAAACATCTAATCTGAATTTCTTTTAATCAAAGAAGGCGCATATGCTGAGAGATGATCTCGTTACCTGAAGAGTTCCGAGTGACGCTTAGCAATGCTTATTAATTCTTGAATTACGATATTCTCATTCCTGGGAAAAGTGCCATCGGTAGGAAATCCATGCTCGATGTCATACCGCAGATTCTTATGAATACAGTAAAGACATCGTCGTTAATGAAATTACCGATTCAAGTGAAAGAGGAATCTGAAATACTTACTTCAAAGTGGATCGCAACATGAGTGGTGACTTGTGCGAATACAGAATCGCAGGAACACCAGAAAAAGGCTATGAAAAGTATCGCTAGGTGTTCAAGCAGAACGCATAACGAGTAACAGAGGGCATTACTCCGTGGAAAGGGGTAAACTAGGGGAAAAACTGTCAGGCTGTAGTTAAAAGAATTATATTCATCCTTCGTGATGAACACTTGGCCCAATATGTACCTGAAACGTAATAGTCCTGTATAATAGAATTGTATTAAAGATTAGTGTCGCTGGACCAAAATTAGGAATTTTTATGATCCGACCAGCGGGGTGATAAAAACAAATGGCAAGATATACTTTGACTAGAGAGAGATAATAACAAAATTATAAAATTGACGCAGGAGAATTTTGCAAGATGGATCGAAAAGTCTCCGATGTCATTTGAAGAGAGTAAACGCCATCGAAGAAAAAGAAGGATAGTCCTGTATAACACAAATGTATTAAAGATTAGTGTCAATGGACCAAAGTTAGGAATTTTTATGATTGGCCCAATATGTACCTGAAACGTGATAGTCCTGTATAATAGAATTGTATTAAAAATTACTGTCGCTAGACCAAAATTAGGAATTTTTATGATGCGACCAGGGAGGTGATAAAAACAAATGGCAAGATATAATTTGACTACAGAGAGATAATAACAAAATTATAAAATTGACACAAGAGAATTTCGCAATGTGAATCGAAAAGTCTCCGATGTCATTTGAAGAGAGTAAACGCCGTCGAAAAAAAAAAGATAGTCCTGTATAACACAAATGTATTAAAGGTTACTGTCGCTGGACCAAAGTTAGGAATTTTTATGATCCGACAATCGGGGTGATAAAAACAAATGGCAAGATATAATTTGACTAGAGACAGATAATAACAAAATTATAAAATTGACGCAGGAGAATTTCGTAAGTTCAATCGAAAAGTCTCCGATGACATTTGAAGAGAGTAAACGCCATCGAAAAAAGAAAATGATAGTCCTGTATAACACAAATGTATTAAAGATTAATGTCGCTGAACCAAAGTTAGGGATTTTTATGATCCGACCAGCGGGGTGATAAAAATAAATGGCAAGATATACTTTGACTAGAGAGAGATAGTAACAAAACTATAAAATTGACGCAGGAGAATTTCGCAAGATGAATCGAAAAGTCTCCGATTTCATTTGAAGAGAGTAAACGCCGTCGAGAAAAAATGATAGTCCTGTATAATACAAATATATTAAAGATTAGTGTCGCCGGACCAAAGTTAGGAATTTTTATGATCCGACCAGCGGGGTGATAAAAACAAATGGCAATATATACTTTGACTAGAGAGAGATAATAACAAAATTATAAAATTGACGCAGGAGAATTTCGCAAGATGGATCAAAAAGTCTCCGATCTCATTTGAAGAGAGTAAACGTCATCGAAAAAAAAAAGGACGACTTGGGTGCTTTGCGAGGAATCAAATACCTTTGGAGAAGGTCCCTCCGTCTTACCCTAACAAATGGCGTTTTCTAGAAACATGTCAAGACGATGGGAGGTGATCGATAACTGTTCTGTACGAGGTTTGGCAGGAAATATCCTTACATATGCGCAGGCATGACGAACAATAGAAATCCCCCCATGATCACCAGGACATATAAGTTGCGATGGCCGGTCACGACTCTTATCATCCTCGAGACTTCTGCCTCGTTTCTTCTTCTCTCGACAAAGGTGCCCCACAAGGCACCAAGTTTGTTAAGCAGATACGTGATGTCTCGAGACTTCTCCAGAAGCCTTAGGCCCTGAAAAACCGAAAATTTGTGAAACATATCTACGCGACAAATACCAACAACTAAATCCAGAAAGGAAGTAGACGTCACCAAGTCTTAGGTCTTCCAAACGACTCCGTCAATGATATCGGTAAAGTATCAACCAGCACTACCAATCGCTTTTATTAACCAGTAATTTCGGTAAAGATGCAAACCTTGAAAACACACAAAGTTGCGGATATCGCAATTGGTGTCAGGTTAAGAGCCAGGATGAGGTCTTGCTCCCACACAAGCAGGGCGGTGCGAAACGCAAATACTACCATCAGCGATACCAGCACTACACCAGCAGATATGAAAACTGCTTCAGGTGCCCCAGGTCTTTTCGGTTTCCCCGTAAAGACGCAGTCCATGAAGAACAGCCCCATACAACGCAGCAACGCAATGTTTGCTCCCATGAGGTCCTTGAAGCTTGCGATCGGCTCCTTGTGTTTGCTCATCTCTGGTTTTTGAAATTTCGACTGGGTCCTCTGGAGCCTCGTAAGCTCTAAAACCATCCTAATCGATTTATATGCTTCAATACTCTAGAATTAAACTGACGAGATGACCAACTCTTCTGGTCTCGACTTAGGGTCTAGAGTCGTCATCGTGTAGAGGTATCGTCTTCTTCGTTTTCTGCTGATTACTACCTGGCGGCCCCTTGGTGTCTCCTCAAAGTGGCTTAATAAGCATGCGAACTATCGACCGACGCGTCTAAGCGCAAGCAACTTGCATTACAAATTTCATATAATAGCTTTTGAAACAGAGGACGTAATTGCTAGGTACTGTTTGGGGGTAAGAGGTCGTGCGAGACAGACTCTTTCTCGTTAAAGGCAGGCCCTGGTAAGTAAAGATGGTTTCTCTCACAAAATGGCCCCAGTCCTAGGTAGGATCTGCTCTAACGTGGTTGTTAAGACCTTCTTCCGAATTCGCTGAGTCCCTCGTGCAGGAAATCATTTCTGTACTGACCTCCCTACACGCAGAAAAATAATATTGTAATCATTACATATGCTCGCGGGTCAAAGTGTTGGTGTCAACTATCGACCGACGCATCTAAGCGCAAGTAGCTTGCATTACAAATTTCATATAATAGCTTTTGAAACCGTACTGTTTTGGGGTAAGAGGTCGTGCGAGACAGACTCTTTCTCGCTGGTAAGTAAAGATGGTTTCTCTCACAAAATGGCCCCAGTCCTAGGTAGGATCTGCTCTAACGTGGTTGTTACGACCATCGTGCAGGAAATCATTTCTGTAATGACCTCCCTACACGCAGAGAAATAACATTGCAATCATTACATATGCTCGCGGGTCAAAGTATCGTTGTAACCTTAACAATAATTATTGAAGATGTAATTACAATTTTATGTCCTTTTAACCATTGCGGCTGAAGCACCAACTGCAGAATTCTTGTAAATGAATTGTAGTTATATTTGCATCCGACAGCGTTACATGTATAACATTGGAAAGTAAAAACTACACGTATAAAGGCACGGGTAAAAATGACCAACAGAGTTGTAAAATTTAAAAACGAGAACTCTATTGAAAACCGTATAATATACCGTAGCACTAGTGATTTTTACAAGCGTGAACTGTTGTTGTTCCCATTGTGCGTTTAAGACACCGCGCATTCTTTTAGATTATTTTTTTATTCTTTCTCTTCAGGGTGCGCCGGTATTGTGGTGGGATATCCTCTGGATACCATCAAGATTCACCTACAGACGCAAGACTTCCGGAATCCAAAATACAGGGGAGTCTGGCACTGCTTCCGCACCATCATGGCTAAGGAATCGGTAAAAAATATTAAACTTCTGAGCCCTGACAAATGTACACTAACATATATTTACGTAGACATCAGTGATCAGATTTTGGTAAATTTATAAAAATTCCTAACGTTCTTTCTTGATTTTTTTTATCTTACCATTTGAAAATGAAAGCTCTAAGGAAATTCGCAGCTCTATAAAAATTAATTCTTTAATCTGCATATGAATATTTTTCAAATTTATTATAGTAAATAAAATTGTATGGGTGTGAGACTACATGACATATGGAACGCTTCATTCCGTATAATTGTTAACGGAGACTGTAAAAGACTTTGACATAAATATAAATGCCATTTGGCACAATACCCAATGTTGTTCGACACAGCTGTCAATATAAAAACCAACGTCGGCAACTTAGATATTTAGAAATATCTTCTTTATCGACGTAGATCAAGTTCCCGGCGTGTTTCACATCACCTTAAAGTATATTTTAAATGTTTACCATAGGTAGCAGGGTTCTACCGAGGCATGTCATCTCCAATGGCGGGGGTGGCAGTGGTGAACGCTGTGGTCTTCGGGGTCTACGGGCAAACCCAGAGACACCTGGGTGACAAAGAGATATTCTACTCGCATTTCCTAGCTGGAGCATCAGCAGGACTAGCTCAGAGTCCAGTATGTAGTCCCATCGAGCTGGCGAAAACCAGACTACAGCTGCAGTCCTCTTCAGGGGTGCGATACTCCGGTCCATTCGAGTGCCTGAAGATCATCTACAAGAAGGAGGGCCACCGGGGGGTCTTCAACGGCTTGGGGATAACCTTCCTCAGAGAGGCCCCCAGCTATGGGGTCTACTTCCTGACCTACGAGCTGCTGACGAAGAGCACCTCCGATGCACCCATCTCGACGTTCCGGATGCTGATCGCTGGTGGATTGGCAGGGACCGCGTCATGGGTCATCTCGTATCCGTTGGACGTCATCAAGTCCAGACTCCAATCTGGACCCAGGGACCGATTTTCAGGTCCTGTCGACTGCTACAGGAAGTCTGTCAAGGCTGAAGGATACTCCTTCCTCTTCAGGGGCCTGGCACCAACGGTCATCAGGGCGTTCCCCACCAACGCCGCTACGTTTGCTGTTGTTACGTGGACGTTCAGGATCTTCGGGGAGCAGCACCAGGTTGAGGACGTCAAGGATGAAAGTCAGGTCCAGGAAGTCCTGAAAAGTCGGAACTTGGATGAGGATGATGCTGATGGCTGGTGGAGGGGACTACTCGCCAGGTGGAGAACCGATCAGCTGGGATCATCCTTTGGGTTTGACTCCTCCATGATCGGCGTCGCAGCTTTGAATCTCTTGCAAGATGACACTGGACGGAGGTTTAAAGTCGCGAATGATATCATCGAGGAGGATTAAGGCGATGTGAAAGTGGCGACACGGATCTTCCGCTTATAGACTTTTCTCTGACCTGGGTGTGTCGAATCGTTTCAATGTTTACAACATGAATATGGGGAATATGAGGAAGGTCCTGACACCCATGGAAATTCATTTTTAATAAATATTTTAGAGATATTAATACACAAATACGATAAAAACTGAAATTTCGTTGGTGCCAGGACGTTTCTCATAGTCTCCATATAGACGTTGTAGAGTTTGAAACGATTCGGCACACTCAGTTCGAAGAAAAGTTTCATAAATGAGACCTGTTTGAGGCCACTTTCATATCCCCTTAAGGTGACGTCATAGAGGTCTCGTTTATGAAACTTTATTCCGAATTGGGTGTACCGAATCTTTTTAGACGTTACAGTGTCAATATGGAGGCTATAAGGAAGGTCCTGACGCCCATGAAATTTTAATTAAAAAAGAAAATTTGTTTATAGACATTTAAAATATGTTTTATACAATAAATGAAATTTCATGGGCGTCAGGACTTTTCTTATAGCATCCATATTCACGTTGCAAAGTGTGAAACGATTAGGTGCACGCTTTTGTGAGGAAAGTTTCATGAACGATTGACCCCACGGATGTCCTTAAGGGGGTGTGAAAGTGGCACCTGAACAGTCGATCGTTCATGAAACTTTTCTCCGAACTGGGTGTACCGAATCGTTTCAAACTTCACAACGTGAATGTGAAGGCTACAGGAAAAGTCTCGTCACCCTTGAAATTTAATTTCTTAAAAAAAAATGTTTGAAATATCTGTACAGAAATTTAAAAAAAATTGAAATTCCGTAAGTGTCAGGATCTTTCTTATGGTCTCCATATTCACGTTGTAATGTTTCAATCGATTCGGTACACCCAGTGCGAAGGAAAGCTTCATGAACAAGACCTCTTTGACGCCACTTTCACATCCCCTTAATGAAGTGAAGTGAATGTTGCTATTGAACCTTGTAGGTGTGAAATCATGATTGAAAGAGGATAAAAATAGGTGAATTCCTCTCGAATTCTGGCGTAGGTTCGCAAATGTGAACTCTGATAAGGCAGAGATTACCTTTAAAGAAATTAGGGATTTACTTCTTACTGCCAAATAATTGCATGCCATTCGCCGTACAAAACTCTGATGAGACAGAAGTTTGATGTCTACCCATAAAACGATAAATCGTACCGAGAAAACTGTGTAAACTTATTTGTACAGATTTAAATGCCACTGTAGAAGAATTCGATTTACTGCACAGATTACAAATCGTTACGATTTATCGATATGTGTGGCCATTTTAAAACAGAATATACACGTAATGATAAATCGTTGCGATTAATTTGTGTATAACGATTTGTACAGACTGAAATTGCTACTGTAGAGGAACTCGATTTAACTGCACAGATTGCAAATCGTTACGATTTATCGATATATGTGTGGCCATTTTAAAACCGATTCTACACGTAATGATAAATCGTTGCGATAAGTTTGTGCAAAATGATTTGTACGGATTTAATTGCAACTGTAAAAGAACTCGATTTAACTGCACAGATTACAAATTATTGAAATTAACCCGTGTAGATAAATCTGTACAGATTTCAACTCTATTTAACTGCGCGGATTACAAATCATTACGATTTATCGTTATATGTGCGGTCATTTTAAAACCGATTCTACACGTAATGATAAATCGTTGCGATAAGTTTGTGCAAAACGATTTGTACAGATTTAATTGCTACTGTAAAAGAAATCGTTTTAACTATACATTACAGATTATTGAAATTAATCAGTGCAGATAAATCTGTACCCATATCAACTCGGTTTAACTGCGCGAATTACAAATTGTTACGATTTATCGTTATATGTGTGGCCATTTTTGAAACCGAGTCTATAGGTAATGATAAATCGTTGCGATAAATTTGTGCAAAATGATTAGTGCATATGTAATTGCCATTGTAGAAGAATTTGGTTTAACTGCACAGATTACAAATGATTGAAATTAATCCGTGTAGATAAATCTATAGAGATTTCAACACGATTTAACTGCGCGGATTAAAAATCGTTACGATTTATCGTTATATGCGCAGCCATTTTAAAACCGACCCTACAAGTAATGATAAATCGCAGCGATAAATTTGTGCAAATTGTTTTGTACAGTTTTAAATGGCGTGTGAGTGCTGTGAAAGTACTCGATTTAATTTCACAGATGACAAATCGTTATGATATATCGTTACACGTGTAGCCATTTTAAAACCGACCTTACACGTAACGATGAATTATTGCGATAATAAAAAATAAATCTGTACAAATTTAAATACCATTTGGATGACGCACAGTCGCTGTCGAAGGACTCGCTTCAGTTGCACAGATTACAAATCGTTACGACAATGAAAACAGATCTGTACACATTTAAATATCATTTAAATAACGTCACTGTAGAAGAATTCGATTTACCAGCGCAGAGTACAAATCGCTTCGATTTATCGTTACCTGAAAAGCCTTGTGTACCCGCTCCTTATCAGGTATAGAAGGCTTATCAATTTCCATAAATTAGTGACTTACTACTTACTGCCAAATACTTGCATGCCTTTCATACTCCTGTACATACATACGTTCTTAGTCTCCATTCCAGAACTTCTGATAACCATTTCCGGTGCGACATTTCCTTTCCACGGGACCGGAAATTTCTCGCAGCCTTTACATATAACTAAAATAAAATTCCATTTTAAAGGCCACTGAGATTTTATTCCCAAAGTGTTGTACCGATCTCTTGTCACGAGACATTCGGCGATCAGTCGTGGCGATATTTTCCAACGACATTCAAAAATCGATCTCGAGTTTCCCGCCGAAGTCCCGCGAGTCAAATAATTTAAAGAAAAAAAAAAAAAGAAAAGAAAAAGAAAAGAAAATACAAAATCACATTTCCCGATTACAACATGCCGATTCTTCTATTGCCAAATAATCATCTCAGTTTGTCTCTCTTTACCGCAATTATGGCTCCCCGTTCCTCCCTCCGCAGTACTTACATACAAAATTGCACATCAGAACTTCATCTCCCCGAATCTGAAAATCCCCATAATCCCCTAAAAATTACCAAAAATTTGGTAACTTCCCCCTCAAATTACAAAATCCTTTTCCCGGGTCAAAGGTGCCGCCCACGAGTCGCTCGTCAAGTCGAGTATAAAAATCCGGTAAAATTGTTAAAAGTACTTTCCACAGAAAAAAAGAATAAAAAAGCATTGTTCAAAGGTATGGAACCCCATCGCGAATCCGCCGGGATAATTTTCGGCGTTTTTTTGGCATTGTTGTCGCGAAGACGCCATTTTTGCTCTCGCTTTTAAGAGGCAGAATTCCCCTAACTGGAGATTAAGCTTGCTGGTTGTTGTTGTTGTTGTTTTCCTGGTTGGTTTGAACCGAAGGTGGGATTGCCATAACAGGATTGTCATTTTGGTGCTGATGGTGGTGGTGCTGTTGTTGCTGCTGCTGTTGCTGAGTTCGCTGCACTTCCAGGGCAAGCAATTTCTGCCTCTTTTCCTCCATAAGTCGTTCCCGATGTTTATGTATGTAATCACAGACGTTTGGTAATCCCATGATAACGCAAGCTGATAAGGCCGAACGGTAGATGTTCATGTCCGTGGCCTCGTACCTTGAAAAAAGGGATTAAATCTGCTCGTTTGATTATGTCTATTATCAAGTACCACGTTATTAATCGAAGACTTTCATCTATACCAAAGGCGTTTTTTAATTCAGATCTTGCATTTTGCTATTATCAAAAGAAAGAAATTTAACTCCTGGAGAAGAATAAGTATAAACAATCGATATAATTAATAGAAATATATATGTGGGGAAAAATGTTTTCTTTACAACGAAGATGTTTTTAGTAAAACCTTGCATTTCCTTATTAAGAATTAATACAAATTAAAAAAAATATATATGTAAAAAGAATATTCTTTTTACACACAAGGTATTTCTTTCAGACTTTACATGTCGTTATTGAAAAATTAATTCCCTGGAGAAATGAAATAGAACTGATTACAGAAATTAATAAAAAAAAATGTTTGTTTACACCGAGAGTGTTTTTATTTAAATCCTCCATGTTTCCATTATAAAATAAAATTTAACTCCCTGGAGAGAAATAAGTATGAACAATCGATACAATTAATAGAAAATATATACGTGGGAAAAAATGTTTTCTTTACAGCGGAGGTGTTTTTTATTCGGATCCTGCATTTCCCCATTATTGACGAATTAACTTTCCAGAGACTAATAATTATAGACAATCAATAGGAATTAATAAAAAATAATTTGTAATAAATAATATTTTCTTTACCCCGAAAGTGTTTTTAGTAAGACCTTGCATTTCCTCATTAAGAATCAATACAATTTAAAAAAAAATAGATATATATGTAAAAGGAATATTCTCTTTACACCCAAGGTATTTCTTTCAGACTTTACATGTCGTTATTGACAAATTAATTCCCTGGGAAAAATTAATTAGAAATGATCGACGGAAATGAATACAAAATTGTGTAAATTATGATTAAAAAAGGTATCTGGGAAAAGAAATGGAGAGTAAATAAAAACTCACCATTCGTTGGTTCTCCCATCGTAACATTCGACATGGTAAATCGTAGTTACCCCATTGAAGCCACCGATTGCGAAAATCATGTCATCGATCACCTCGATCGCGAAATTACTCCGAGGATTATACATGTCCCTTATCTGTGACCAGCTATTCGTCGCTGGATTATATTTTTCACCACTGCACATCCTCGAAATCCCATTAAAACCTCCTGGAATCCCAGAAAGTTCATTAAGAAATTACTTATTTAAATTCAGGTTAAAAATTCCCGATATAACTTATATAACAAAACATTTCGAAAGACCGGATAAAATTATGAACAAGTGTTTAAGGTAATAAGAAAGTGGTGTTTGAAGGGGTTCATAAAACTTTTTTATGCACAGGATACGCCAAATCGCTTTAGATTTTCCCATTTCAATATGAAGGCCATAAGGAAGGTCTTGACGACGAAAAAAAATTAATCTTTCTAAATTTGTTCATAAGTGTCTTACAAATTTTATGTAAAAATTGATATTTTATGAGTGATAGGACCAATATAAATATAAATGTCGAAAACGTGACACGTCAGCTTATGTTATATAATAAATTATTGATAAGAGGTACCAATGACGTAAACGCATCCGTGATAGGCGATGCAGGAGACGCCACTTCTACGAGATCTCATCGCAGCAATAAAGGTCCATTGGTTGGTTTCAGGATCGTAAACCTCAGCCGAGTTCATGCACTCCTGCCCATTGAAACCTCCCGTAATGTAGATCTTATCTACGGCGAAAGAGATTGCGCATTTTTAGGAAGTTCACTGTATATCTTAAATAATTGCATCATATTCTAGGAACAACGAAATATTCGAAGGGAATATTCGTAGAACATTCACAGGATTCAAGAGTGTTACCTGGGGAGATAAATAAAAAAAAGTAGGTATACGAAGCTTTAAGCTAATCGGAGGTATGCTTCAAAACTTCAATTAAGGTGAAGCGAAACACGTCGAGGAACTTGATCGACGTCGATAAAGAAGATTTTTCTAAATACCTACGCTTGCCGACGTTCGTTTTTATATTGACAGCTATGTCGAATTATATTGGATATTGTACCAAATGGAATACTCCACCTGTCGTTTTGGTACAATAATTACAAAGAAATCCAAGTAAAACTCCAGAAATCCTCTGGATTCATGTTTTTTGGGGCCCTAATTGACTGTAGAGGGACCCCCTGCGCCATCTGTGATTTCCAGGTCAATTAAATTTTCACTCCGAGACCTCGTATTCCCATCGTTTTAGCATAGAAGCGCATACAGCATTAATTTTGCCTTTATCTCGTTCAAATGCGAGTTTATCGATTACCAGAGTGTTCTAAATTGTCGTAAAATTGTCCTGACCCTTTCGTTTCTCATATCAGAGCCTTCGATAATTGTATATTGATCGAAATATGAGAGCTCGACGCCATTTTGCTTCTGGCCTGGGCTAAGTTAAAAATTTTTTATGAAAAATTCAAATTTTTATTGTGTCAGGACAATTCTTAGATGATCACGAGTCATGTGTCAAAGTTTCGGACAGTTTGGTCTAATACCCTTAAAAAAAAGTGTTGTATTCGAATCGACTGATTTGAAGGATGTTTCACATCACCTTAAAACCACCCGAAAGGCGGTTTTCATCGAGATGGTTATGGAGACCAGAACGAAACCTCACCGTTCAACATGGTGGCACTTGCGTCCGACCTCTGGACGTTCATGGGTGCTATCAGTGACCACTGATTATAGCGATAGTTGTACCGTTCTGCTGTGTTCTGGCGATGGTGTCCATCATATCCTCCCATGGCATAAATCAGGTCGTTCAGGACAGCCACACTAACATAGCACCTATGGGTTTTGGAAGGATTAGACCCTAGTAGCACAAAATATTTCTCCTATATTATCTATATATTTAACGAATATCGTACATTTTGTAAATATTTAGCAGACATTTGAAATATTTGCAAAGCGTTTACTTTAGAATATTATCCTTATAATATTTATATAATATTAGCTCCATGTGTTTTCATAATATTTTTCTACCAGATATACAAAACATTTCGTTTCATTTTAATACAAGTATTTTTTAAATATTATCTGCCGAATACATTATAAACGTTTTAAAAATATTTAAAATCAAAATCACACGTTTTGCTCCCATAATGAAATAGCGGAACGAAAATATTAGAAAAATTTCTCGTGTTTTTTGATACCAAATGAAGTGTCCGATAATAGTCGTGAAGTAAAAAATGTATTTTTATTATGTTAATAAGTTAAAAAATATAATTTCTCTATATGTTTATAAATTATTGAAACTAAATATGTCATTGAGATTTTCAAGAAATATTTCAAATATCTTCGAATGAAATCTACAAGAAATCTTAAAAAATCTGTCGCTCGAGATATTCAGCAAAGATTACAAAGAAATATTTAGAAATTATTCTATGCTACTGAGATTAGGTTAGAGGTTGAAAAGAGCCCAAAAACCAGGAATTTCGTCGACCTTCTAGCATTCATGGGCGCCACCTCGCGCCAAGATTTCGTCACAGCATTAAAGCAACGACAACTGTTGAAATAGTCCATGCCATCAAAGCCGCCGATCACGTAAATGTTGAAGCCGACCACGGCGGTTCCATGGTATGCTCGGGGTCCTGTGGGATCCACCTCTTCAACCTGGACCCAGGAATGAAAATAGCCATGTTTATGCAATTTTTGTAGTGTTGTCAACTTCTGTTTATCCTGGTACAATCGAATTAACCCTTTGCGCTGCAATGATGATCTAGACTCGTTATGGGGTTTTAGAATGATCTGAAAATTGTCCTCACCCTTTCGTTTCTCATATCAGAGCCTTCAATTATTGTATATTGATCGAAATACGAGAGCTCAACGCCATTTTGGTTCTGGTCTGGGTGAAGTTAAACAATTTTTGCCAAAAATCCAAATTTTGAATGTGTCAGGACGATTCTTAGATGATCAGAAGTGATGTGTCAAAGTTTCGGACAGTTTGGTCTAATATCCTTAAAACAAGTGTTTTATTCGAATCGACTTGTTTGAGGGGGTATCACTTCACCTTAATCCAGGAGTGATGCGTCAAAGTTTCGGACAGTTTGGTCCAATATCCTTAAAAAAAAAGTGTTTTATTCGAATCGACTGGTTTGGGGGGGTATCACTTCACCTTAATCCAGGAGTGATGCGTCAAAGTTTCGGATTAGTCTAATACCCTTAAAAAAACTGTCTTATTCAAATCGACTGGTTTGAGGGGGTATCACTTCACCTTAATCCAGGAGTGATGCGTCAAAGTTTCGGATAGTTTAGTCTAATACCCTAAAAAAACTGTTTTATTCGAATCGACTGGTTTGAGGGGGTATCACTTCACCTTAATCCATGAGTGATGCGTCAAAGTTTCGGACAGTTTGGTCCAATATCCTTAAAAAAAAAGTTTTTTATTCGAATCGACTGGTTTGGGGGGGTATCACTTCACCTTAATCCATGAGTGACGCGTCAAAGTTTCGGATAGTTTAGTCTAATACCCTTAAAAAAAGTGTTTTATTCGAATCGACTGGTTTGAGGGGGTATCACTTCACCTTAATCCATGAGTGATGCGTCAAAGTTTCGGATAGTTTAGTCTAATATCCTTAAAAAAACTGTTTTATTCAAATCGACTGGTTTGAAGGGTATCACTTCACCTTAATCCACCTGTCGGCCCTCGTGTCGTAGGTTTCGATGAAGTTGGTCGGACTGCCTCCACTCCACCCTCCAATGGCGAAGAGGATCTCATGGGGTAGTCTGGGACGCGCAATTTCTGGGGTGGACACTTCCCCGTCCTTCTGGGTGATCATCTCCAGGTCGTAGAGGAACTTCAGGGTGCCTATGATGATGGGCTTGCAAGCTTCGTTGCCGGTCACGTAGGGATGGTCCTTCACGTTCTCCAGGAAGAATTGCGTGTCCAGAAGACCCAACCGGATGTTCTTCATCAGCTCGACGATGTGTCTCTTCCGGTCTTCAGGGTCGTGGTTGACCCACCTCAGCACCAACTCCCAGACCACTTCTTCGCTCTTCACGTTCAGCTCGTCTGCTCCCACTAGGGCCTTCAACTCGTCTATTGGAAGCTGAAGAACTTCCTCGCTCTTCTGGGCGACCTGCGGAAAGAGATTTCAACATATTAAGATGATGTGAAACACGTCGAGAAACTTGATCAACGCCGATAAAGAAGTTTTATTTTAAAGGCCTACGTTGTCGACGTTCGTTTTTATATTGATAGCTGTGTCGAATTATATTGGGTATTGTACCAAATGGCATACTCCACCTGTCGTTTTCGTACAACAAATATAAAGAAATCAAAGTAAAACTCCAGAAATCCTCTGGATTCATGCTTTCTGGGGTCCTAATTGACTGCAGAGGGACCCCCTGCGCCATCTGTGATTTCCAGGTCAATTAAATTTTCACTCCGAGACCTCGTATTCCCATCGTTTTGGCATAGAAGCGCATACAACACTTTCTTTGCCTTTATCCCGTTGAAATTCGAGTTTATCGATTACCAGAGAATTCTAAATTGTCGTAAAATTGTCCTGACCCTTTAGTTTCTCATATCAGAGCCTTCGATAATTGTATATTGATCGAAATATGAGAGCTTGACGCCATTTTGGTTCTGGTCTGGGCTAAGTTAAACAATTTTTTCCAAAAATTCAAATTTTTAATGTGTCAGGACAATTCTTAGATGGTCAGGAGTGATGTGTCAAAGTTTCGGATAGTTTGCTCTAATACCCTTAAAAAAAAGTGTTGTATTCGAATCGACTGATTTGAAGGGGGTTTCATTTCACCTTAAGATGATGTGAAGCACGTCGAGAAACTTGATCCACGTCGATAAAGAAGATTTTTTTTAAAAGTCTACGTTGTCGACGTTCGTTTTTATATCGACACCTGTGTCCAATTATATTGGGTATTGTACCAAATGGCATACTCCATCTGTCGTTTTCGTACAATAAAAATATTTAAAATCAAAGTCACACGTTTTGCTCCCATAATGAAATAGCGGAACGAAAATATTAGAAAAATTTCTCGTGTTTTTTGATACCAAATGAAGTGTCCGATAATAGTCGTGAAGTAAAAAATGTATTTTTATTATGTTAATAAGTTAAATATTATTTCTCTATACGTTTATAAATGATTGAAACTAAATATGTCATTGAGATTTTTAACAAATATTTCAAATATCTTCGAATGAAATCTACAAGAGATCTTAAAAAATCTGTCGCTTGAGATATTTGTCAAAGATTACAAAGAAATATTTAGAAATTATTCTATACTACTAGGGTATAGACTTTTAGATCTTACTTGAGTTCAGTAAAAAAGGAGCGAGAAGAAAAAATTAAAATCGGCAAATTGATTAATCTAACAATATAAGAATTTACGTAAAGTTAGACGAACAAAAGGAAATAATAACGATTGTACAATTTTAAATGAAACCTTGATACCAGTCATTTGACCGGCCTCGGTACGGTAATGTTAAATCAAATCATAAACAGATGAACAAGTTGTTTATATAATAGTCCATACTAGAACAATTGTTCGCACAATTGTTCATACATCAATTGTACATACAATTGTTCACCAAGAATACATGAATTTTTCATTCATTCCAATAAACAAATTCTTATTCCATTTGCAACTTTATACCTGAACAAAGTGTCTCATGACGTAACGGTAGGCATCAGATTCCAGGCCTTTGCAGAAATGCTCCCTGGCGAACCTCATTACTCCGATGCAATTTTCTGCAGCAAGGTTCCTGGCCAAGTAATCACAGCAGAGGTCCAGGACCCCCAGAATACTGAGATAGTCAGCTGTTATCAGCAACTGACAGACATTTTCTCGATTTACTTCGAGGGAGCGTAAATAGGCGTACTCCAGGAGAAGATTCATCATGTTGCTGTTGACTCCCGGCAGCAGGACGTCGGTCTTCTCACGAGAATGCAAGGTGGTCGTGAAAAGAGCCCTGCAATGATTTCACCACGTTAAGGCTGATAAGAAGGTCCTGACTCCCTTGAAATTTCATTTGTTATTAAACATTTTTTAACTGTATGTAAACCAATTTAAAGAAAATTGAAATATGATGAGTTGCAGCACTTTTCTTGCAGCCTCCATATTCGGAAACTTTAACACGTGATTATGGAGGCCCTAAGGAAGAACGCGATGCTCGTGAAATTTCATTATTCGCAAAAAAATGTCATTTTTGGTTCTTGTCCACGATAAATAGACATTTTTTCGGAAAATTAAATTTCACGAGCATCGCATTCTTCCTTAGGGCCTCCATAATCTCGTAATGAAGTTTCAAATGATTCTGGGCACCCAGTTTGGAGAAAAGTTTAATAAATATTTTGACAATTTGGTATGTATATATGACATATTTATATCACCTTAAGGGGATGTGAAAGTGGCATCTGAGGGATAATGAAACGTTTCTCCAAGCTGAGTGCACCGAATCGTTGGAAACATTAACACGTGATTATGAAGGCCCTAAGGAAGAAAGCGATTTTCGTGAAATTTCATTTTTCGAAAAAAAAATGTCTTTTTTGGTTCTTGTCCCAGATAAATAGACACTTTTTCGGAAAATCATATTTCACGAGCATCGCGTTCTTCCTTAGGGCCTCCATAATCTCGTGATGGAGTTTAAAATGATTCGGTGCACTAAATTTGGAATAAAGTTTTCTAAATATTTTGACTTCTTGGTTTGTATATATGACACTTTCATATCACCTTAGTGGGCATTCCAGGTCGACAAAATGATAGGAATAGCTTATAATAATTATACTGAAAGGATTGAAAACTGTAATGTCAAAGGAAGGGAAGAAAACCTGAAGTACGTGCTGCACGCGGACAGGATCGCGCGATGAATCGGAAAAACGCCTCCATCTTCGAGCCTCAAAACCGCATCGCAGAGTAGGTTATTCTTCCTGAAGTCATAAAGCGACTGCATAGCCTGGGTGCTCATACATCGGCCGCCATTTTCTGCAATGAGTCGCTGGGTCTTCGTGGTGCAGTTCTCGGCGCTGCCGGTCGGGTCTGCATCCATCAGGATGGGCAGATACCAAGAGCCCCGAAGAATCCACCAGGATCGCCCCTGCCCGAGTTTTCTTCAGCTTAAGGTGAAGTGAAACACTTTTTTAGAGGGACATTTTAAACCAGGATTTTTGCCACGCATTTTAATTCAGGATTTTGATAGTAGGACATTTTATATCAGAATTTATCCGATAGGACATTTCAAACATGGACTTTCCTAGTAGGACATTGGGACCCAGAACTTTTTTAGTGGGATATTTTAAACCAGGATTTTCCTAGTAGGACATTATATATCAGAATTTATCCGATAGGACATATTAGACAAGGACTTTCCTAATAGGTCATTGGGAACCAGAACCTTTTTAGTGCGACATTTTAAACCAGAATTTTTCTAGTAGGACATTATATATCAGAATTTATCCGATAGGACATATTAGACGAGGACTTTCCGAGTAGGACATTGAGAACCAGAACCTTTTTAGTGCGACATTTTAAACCAGGATTTTTGCCATACATTTTAATTCAGGATTTTGTTAGTAGGACATTATATATCAGAATTTATTCGATAGGACATTTTAAACACGGTCTTTCCTAGTAGGACATTGGGAACCAGAACTTTTATAGCGGGATATTTTAAACCAGGATTTTCCTAGTAGGCCATTATATATCAGAATTTATCCGATAGGACATATTAGACAAGGACTTTCCTAGTAGGACATTTTAAATCAGGATTTTCCTAGGAAGACATTATATATCAGAATTTATCCAATAGGACATACTAGACGGGGACTTTCCTAGTAGGACATTGGGAACCAGAACTTTTTTAATGGGACATTGTAAACCTGGATTTTTCTGGCAGGACATTCATGGTGAAGTTAAACACGTCGAGTTCCTCGATCGACGTCGGTAAAAAAAGTTTTTATAATTACCTACGTTGCCGACGTTCGTTTTTATATCGACAGCTGTGTAGAATTATATTGGGTATTGTACTAAATAGCATACTCCATATGTCATTTTTGTACAATAATTATAAAGAAATCGAAGTAAAACTCCACAAAATCCCCTGGATTCATGGTTACTGAGGCCCTAATTGACAAATTATGGAATTGTCAGGATAATTCTTAGCTAATCACGAGTCATGTGTCAACGTTTTGGACAGTTCGATCGAATGCCTTTAAAAAAAAGGTGCCTTATTCAAATCGACTGATTTGAGGGGGGTTTCGCTTTACCTTAAGACTCTCTCCAGGAAGTCACCTCTTCGAGAAGTCCAGGAATCGAGATACTCCCCGCGTCTTCCAGTAATTGAAAGCGCCGTCCGCGCACCACGTGGTCGGCGCGCAGGGTGGGGGAACTGTCAAAACCACGTGGTCCCTCCGGCGCCCACGCGGAGACTCTCGGCGGCTCAATCGCGCGCTGACCTTCGTGGAGTGCACTTCGCGTCGAGGTTAGGTGACCTCGAAAACGATGCAGGGCTTTCGGGGTTAAAATCACGTCTTGATGATTTCGTTACAAGTCTGGAAAATGTCTCTGGCGGCGTTTAAGGTGGGTTCATGGAGAGAATTCGGACGTTCTGACGGTTTGATGGTCGGTCATGCGGACTTAGGATTTCGAGGTCGGTCTGATTCTTGCTCAGGATTTCGGACTTGGATTTTGCGCGGCGAGGCGGCGGAGGGGAGGGGGTGGACCGGCGGGAGATACAAACTATTTCGGGTGATTTTAAGAGAGAATGATTGTCGCCTCTGGCCGTGACATAGGTCTTACATGTCCGCCGTTCAGTCGAGGACCTACTGACGTGTCCGATGACAAGAGAGGACCGCAGTTTTCGTTGACTGATCTCCGGCAGACTTCGCGACACATTTCTGATGACGCGTCATTAAGGTGAAGTGAAACACGTCGAGGAACTTGATCGACGTCGATAAAGAAGATTTTTCTAAATACCTTCGTTGCCGACGTTCATTTTTATATTGACGGCTATGTCGAATTATATTGGATATTGTACCAAATGGCATACTCCACCTGTCGTTGTCGTACATTAATTATAATGAAATCGAAGTATAACTCCAGAAATCCTCTGGATTCATGCTCTCTGCGGCCCTAATTGATTGCAAAAAGACCCCCTGTGCCATCTGTGATTTCCGTGTCAACTAAATTTTCACTCCGAGGCCTTGTATTCCCATCGTTTTAGCATAGCAGCGCATAAGACACTTTTTCTGCCTTTATCCCGTTTAAATGCGAGTTTATCGATTACCAGAGTGTTCTAAATTGTAATTTATTTTTAATTTTCTTATCATGCTATGTAAGCATGAATTATGTAACAGTTTTCAATGTTTAATAATATAATATAACCTCGCAGTAACAAAAACTAACCTGTACATCCTAGTAAATTCTCTTTCTTCTAAAGAAAATGAGTCTGAGGCATCACGTAATTCCCTTATTTTTCTAATAAGGTTATTATTCCGTCCCCGAATACGATTATTGCCAAAAATCAAAACGCCCAGGAGGTTTTCCATTTTGAATTTCGGTGTCACAATCCGTGGAAGATAGCGTTCACGACGCTTATTTTTCTATCTTTTCTTGTATGCTTCACCATTTCGCTTAACAATTTTTGTCTCGCATTTTCACCACCAAAAATGTTCCGTAATACCGTGAGCTCCTTATCTTTCACATTTTTGTTCAATTTACTTTACGTAATAGACCCTGTCGGTAACGCATGTTTTTAGAGGAAAAATTTAGTTGCAGATAAACGTCACAGATGGCGCCCGTGAAAGAAATAAAATCCTTGTCGTTCTTGCTTTACATAGTGCATCGCCTTGAAGAGAGCCTCATTTCTCTCGCGTCTTTAGGGTCACGGAGTGTCACTGTTATTTTTTGATTTTTTATTAATTTTTCAGGGACAGATATCCGGTCATTTTTAGACAACTATGTCTAGATGATATTAATCGAAGCCGGAAAGAAGAAATCTTGATTCAGGATGGCTACCAAAGGAGCGAAATCACAAAATGCTCCAGCTTCATCTTCTGCGGATGCTCTTCAGGTTTCCTTACCTCAAATGTTAGACCTCGCCCTGGGCACTCCTGAGGTACTGTTTTATGTTATTGTTGCCAATTAGTAAACAAATAAATTTTAAATTCAAAAGCACAAATTCCGGAGAATATTTATTTATGCTGCGATCTTAAAATCCCAAGTAAACGCAGTTAAATGACATTAAGGAACAGAAAAAGATTAGATTATTAAATAGAAATTTCATATAATACTTCTTCATACTTGACAAATAGAAATTCCATAAAATATTTACTCGCGCGGCGACTTTGAGATTCCATGTAGATGCAATCAAATTAAATTAATAGACAAGAAAGTATTAGACTCATGAATAGAAATTCCATGTGATATTTATAGACAGTTGATAAATAAAAATTCGATAGCATATTTATTCACAATTGATGAATAAATATTCGATAGCATATTTATTCATAATTCATAAATACAATTCCATAAAGTATTTATTAACATTACGATCTTGAGATTCTAGGTGGGTGCAGTCAACCTCAACATCCTCCACAATTTCCTTCACGTCCTCCTCCGGCAGATCAACCTTCGTTCAACGAAGGTGGAATATCGCGGAGAGGACGCAAATCGCATCAAAGTAAGCGTGAAAAAGTTTCTTCAAATTAGAAAATTTAATTGAGCCTTCACTTAAGCCTTTGAGCGCTGTCGACGCATATGTGCGTCCGACGTTTGGTCGAATATCGCTAGCACGCCCTGACGAAATTCGCCCATACGACGAAAGTACTTAGCACCCAAAGGTTTAATCAGGGTTGACAAAATTCATGATTTATTATAACACTAACCTAATAAAAAATTAAATATAGCTGATTTTTTTAAATATCTTAATTATTTAAATCACCTTCGCGTTTAAAAGATTACGTTAACCCGACATTACTAAAAAATTACCGTAACAAAATTACCGAACTTTCAATTATTAGGAATATAAACAGGGTGACCAGAAAGCAAATGAATTAATTATTCTATTTAACCCTTATCACTCCAACCTTTAGTAATACTGTCAACTTCTAATACTCTTCTAATATTTTTGGAGTGATAAGGGTTAAACGTCAAAAAAGTTAAGCTACGTTTAACTTTTAGCTTTCCAATATAATTGCCCTGTATAGTACTCAGACTGATTAAAAAATCAATGGTTTTAGTCGCGATTTCAATAAATTCAGAAAATCGATGATTTAAAGAAAATAAAAATCTAATAATTACAATCGATGATTTAAAAATGATTGAAATCAATTAAGTAAAATCGGTGATTGAAAACTAATTAATTTCAGTTAATTAAAATCGATGATTAAAATCGCTGATTTTAATCGTCATTTTAACCTGTTCATTAAAATCGCTAATTTTAATCGTCATTTTAACCCATTGATTAAAATTGCTGATGCTTATCGTCATTTTAACCGGTTGATTAAAATCACTGATATTAATTGTCATTGTAATCTGTTGATTAAAATCCCTCATTTTAATCGTCATTTTAACCAGTCGATTAAAATCGCCGGTTTTAATCGTCATTTTAACGAATTGATTAAAATTGCGGATTTCACTCGTCATTTTAATCAGTTGAATAAAATCGCTGATATTAATCGTCCTTTCGACCCGCTGATATTAATCGTCATTTTGATCCGCTGATTAAAATCGCTGATTTTAAATCGTCACTTTAACCCGTTGATTAAAATCGTTGATTTTAATCGTCATTTCAATAAAATGATTTAAATAAGTTCCGCCCTGTTCTTAATAAATTATTAGACCATGGTGGAGTCCTTGAAGTCGGGACCGAGTCTTCAGCTACACGAGTACAGCATCATCGACGGTTCTGGGAAAATAAGTCAAAGGATCCAGGGTGACGATGACCTGGTCGTCGATGTTTTCACGGAAGGTGCTTTGAAGTGAAATAAAATACTCCCAGCTCTTCAGGAAATGCTTAATGTATTTAAAATGTTATTCGTGTGTTGAGGAGGTTCGAAAGGAGCCAAAGGTGGGAAACCTGCTGCCAGTGCTCCTACGACTGCTCGAGGAGCGGGAAAGGATCAAGGTGAAAGACCCTCTTCAGCATCTAAACCCTTTCGTTACAAGCGCCAACTATAATCGGTACACATGCGACGACCTTTGTGTACACTGGGAGACATCAATGCCCTCCTATCCTGCACAGGCGATGCCGTATCTGCAGGGGAGGCATTTATGTCCGCCATTGTACGTCAATATGAGTACAAATGTCGGTAACGACATTTACATTTCAACCTATGTTACTACTTGAGTTTCTACATACGTACACTGGGAGACATCAATGCCTTCCCATCCTGCACAGGCGATGCCGTATCTGCAGGGGAGACATTCACGTCCGCCATTGTACACTGGGAGACATCAATGCCTTCCCATCCTGCACAGGCGATGCCGTATCTGCAGGGGAGACATTCATATCCGCCATTGTACGTCAATATGAGTACAAATGTCAGTAACGACATTTACATTTCGACCTATGTTACGACTTGAGTTTCTACGTACGTACACTGGGAGACATCAATGCCTTCCCATCCTGCATAGGCGATGCCGTATCTGCAGGGGAGGCATTCATGTCCGCCATTGTACGAGCGCCGACTTTAGTTGGTAACAAATTCTGCCATATCTGCAGATTCTATTGACCCGAATTGGATTAACCCTTTGTGATCGATACTGCCACAATGGCGGCATTACAAGTCGTCGTAGAAGTCGATGCCGCCAGTCTGGCGGCATGATGTCATTTATCCCTCAAATGGCGGAGGAAATTATTTTTTTGCCGCATGGAGATGTGCGTCATGTGCTAAATTTACTCCGACTAGCTGGTACTCCCATCAGAGAAATTTGCAAAGGGTTAATCATCCTAAAAGGACATTTTGAACATACGTAACACAGTTTGGCCATGGAGGTGAGATGAGAAGACAGCTATTGGGGTACCTTTTAATTTCTTAAAAGTTCAAGGTTAGACCTTTATTTGGAAATTTAATAATGGGATCATACGATAAACCAGGTGTTATTTAACACTTAGAAAAGTGTACGTACAAAAGGCAGTCAAGGAGACATTGTTCAGGTGGAAGACGTAAGTTCAAACACCGAAGACTGCCGAAGCGCAATGTGCACCCTTTCAGTGTCGTGTTCAGTGGCGGACCAAACTGCCGTAATGAAAGGGTTCATTGATTATTTTTAATTATAGACATTCACAGAACATGTTTCTTTTCCTAGACGCGACGGTGGCCAAGAAGACTAAAGGTGTGAAGCAACAATTGGGAGCTGGGTCGGATGGGGAGCTTCAATCGGTCATCTTTGTGGAACCAGTCATTGATGGAGCAACTCCATCGGCGTTGACTTTCAAGAAGTTCGAGGATACAGTCAGTAGATTATGTCTTTTTTAAGCATGATCTTTTCAGGGGATATTTCAGGGATTTTTCTGGTAGGACTAGTTAACTCTTTGAGGCACGGTGGTATTAAAAGTGCCCCACCTTTTTAATGCGTGAATATGCACGGTGGGACTATTTGAGTCCCACCCTATAACAACAAACTTACTTGAATTATTGTTATTTTTCATGTTTTTATACTATGTTATTCCTGTATTAATAAAAATAAACCAAGTTTGTTGTTTCCAGAGTAGAACATTTCCAACCATCGCTTTTCTGTAGATCATTTTAAAATAGGATTTCTTTATTAAGAAATGTTAACGCTGGATATTTGTAAAAGTGTATATAAATTCTCATCGATTTTTATCAGTGTAGTCAGCGCTTATCATATGGATTTTTATCAGTGTAGTCAGAAACTGATGATTGAATGCGTTTCAGGTCAGCAAGTTGCAGCAGCAGTTCCACGCCTTAGAAGAGCTGGCGAACAACTCGGATATGATCGAACGGATTAAGAAGAATGCATCAGACCCATTAACAGACATGTGGCACGTCATCAACATCAACAAGCGACTGGACGCGACCGAGCAGAGTATGGAAAAGGTGAAGGAACGAAAAACAAGTGATCCTTGTCGCATCCACCGGGACTTAACCCCTTGCCTGACGATTTAAATTCCAATAGCACGTGCCATAAACAACAAAAATGTCGGTCACACATCGGGCCATTTCACGGTTTGGCTGAACGTTCAAAGTCTCACACGTCTCTCTCTCACGCGGCTCCGTAGGACTCCGTGTGTGGCACGCGGAGGTACCTACAGAATATAAGGAAATGGAAAGAGACTTGGACTAAGGGTCCAAGAATAATAATAACTTTAATTTGAGAGTACCCTGAAAGAACGGTGGTTGTCGGTACAAGAGCTTGCGATGTAGAGAGCGCTGAGGTGTATGTAAAGAGTCCTTTTCTTGTCTCTTGACTCTTGATATATGGAGTATCGGACGGTTGGTCCTTTCCTCCTGAAATGAGGGTGTGTGGGGGTTGCTGTAATGAGTTGTGATTGTTTGAGGGGGGGAGATGTGTTGAAGATGCGTTATGCTGGGGGTTTAGGTGTGTCGGGGGGAGCCTGGTTGGTCAGGGGGTGTTTTGTGTCAGGCTAGGGGCATTTTGGGTCTTTTGTCCTTGTGTGGATGTGGTGGGCTGTAGTTTGTGGCGTGAGTAAGAGCGCAAGTGAGGGGTTTAGGTGTGTCGGGGAGGAGCCTGGTTGGTCATTGGGTGTTTCGTGTCAGGCTAGGGGCATTTTGGGTCTTTTATGCTTGTGTGGATGTGGTGGGCTGTAGTTTGTGGCGTGAGTAAGGGTCGCGTTTGGGTGGTTTTGGATTGACTGGAATGTGCTCGTTGTTAGTTTTTTATGTGGGTTGCTATTGATGGGATTTGGAGGTCTCTGTGAATAGTCGAGTTTCTGACATACCAAGGTGCCTGTGCGATTTGTCTAAGGGCCCGATTTTGTAGTTTCTGTAGGGTGTCTATTGCGTGGTTAGAGGCGGTGGCCCAAGCTAGGCAGGCGTAGGTCATGATGGGGTGGATGATCGAGGTGTAGAGAAGGAGTTTGTTTTTTATGGAGAGTTTTGATTTTTTGTGGATGAGCGGGAAGAGGGCGGCGACAGCGTTTTATGCTTTGGCTGTTGTTGAGCGCAAGTGAAGGGTTTAGGTGTGTCGGGGGGAGCCTAGTTGGTCAGAGGGTGTTTTGTGTCAGGCAAGGGGCATTTTGGGTCTTTTGTGCTTGTATGGATGTGGTGGGCTGTAGTTTGTGGCGTGAGTAAGGGTCGCATTTGAGTGGTTTCGGATTGACTGGAATGTGCTCGCTGTTAGTTTTTTATGTGGGTTGCTATTGATGGGATTTGGAGGTCTCTGTGAACAGTCGAGTTTCTGACATACCAAGGTGCCTGTGCGAATTGTCTAAGGGCCCGATTTTGTAGTTTCTGTAGAGTGTCTATTGCGTGGTTGGAGGCGGTGGCCCAAGCTGGGCAGGCACAAATCTTACGGATGCAACAATCCTGAAGACCTAACTAGAATTCCGCGACTATTCCAGTTGATGGGGATGCTGCAAGAGCTGATAAAAAGCGATAAACTTGAAGTGGGAGCTGGTGACACCTCCGAGAGTCTAGAAGCTCTGGAGCAGAGATTAACGGACATAGAAATGACTGTTTCGTACCTGACGGAAGGAGTTGAGCAGATGCAAAGCGGTGTTGAAGAGAACCCGACACCACGTGGTAATCAAGATGGAGGTGCAGATGGACAGCAAGGTGATCAAAGTGGAAGAAACGATACAACTGAAGAAACTGAAGCAGCTGGAAAGTCTGGAGAAACTGGAGGAGCTGGGAAATCCAATAAAAAAGGAGCTGGAAAAACCACAGAAGTTGGGGCTTCCAAAACTGATGAAACTGGGGGCGGTAAAAAGGCTCCAGGAGGTGAATCTGGTCCTGGAAAAGCTCAAACTAGTTCTGGGAAATCTGGGGAAAAATCTGAAGGTAGAGGAGCACCTACTTCAGCTGGGAAATCGAATCCACCTGTTGCTGGTGAAAATGGCGCCGGTGGTCGCAGGCTAACGAGTAAGAATATCATCATTCTCTTTCTAATATATGTCCTCGCGTTCGTTTAATTTGTTTAACTTAATTTTTTATTCAGTATTCGACGAATTTCGCACAGACATTGCGACCCTGAAGAAGGACATGGGTGAGATGCAGAAGTGTTTGCAGAATTTGGAGAAGAAAGTCGAGCAGAATCAAACAGGTAGGTCTAAAAATTGTGGAGTTTAATGATCGATTATTGGAATAATTGTGGAGCTTAATTACTGGAAAGTTGTGGAGTTCAAAGGATAATTATTGGAAAATTTCAGAGTTAAGAGATTAATTACTGGAAAATTATGGAGTTTCAAGATTAATTACTGCAAAATAGAGGACTTTAAGACTATTTACTGCAAAATAGTGGACTTTAAGACTATTACTGGAAAATTCTGAGATTTAAAAATTAATTACTGAAAAATTCTGAAATTTCAAAATCAATTATTGATCATTTGAGGAGTTTAATGATTAATTACTGAAAAATTCTGAAATTTAAAAATCAATTATTGATCAATTGTGGGGTTTAATAATTAATTACTGATAAATTGTGGACTTTAAGGTGAAGTGAAACACGTCGAGGAACTTGATCAACGTCGATGAAGAAGATTTTTCTAAATACCTACGTTGCCGACGTTCGTTTATATATTGACAGCTGTGTCAAATTACATTGGGTATTGTTCCAAGTAGCATACTCCACCTGTCGTTTTCGTACAATAATTATAATGAAATCGAAGTAAAACTCCAGAAATCCTCCGGATTCATGCTTTCTGAGGCTCTAATTGACTGCTGAGGGACCCCCTGCGCCATCTGTGATTTCCGTGTCAACGAAATTATCACTCCGAAACCTCGTATTCCCATCGTTTTAGCATAGAAGCACATAAGACACTTTTTTTCCCTTTATCCCGTTCAAATCCGAGTTTCTCGATTATCAAAATGTTCTAAATTGTCGTGTAAATTGTCCTGACGCTTTCGTCTCTCATATTAGAGCCCTGAATAATTGGATATCGATCAAAATATGAAAGTTCGACGCCATTTTGGTTCTGGTCTAGGCTAAGTTAAGAAATTATTTCCAAAAATCCAAATTTTGAATGTGTCAAGACAATTCTTAGATGATCAGGAGTGATGTATCAAAGTTTCGGACAGTTTGGTCTAATACCCTTAAAAAAGTGTTGTATTCGAATCAACTGATTTGAAAGAGGATTTCACTTCACCTTAAAGGTTAGTTATTGAAACTCTTGATATTAATTATTTTTAACCCGGAGTTTAGGCGCAGGTCCAGCTGCTCCTTCGAAGGCGACGCTTGCATCGAGTCCTGAAAACATTTCTGAAGATCAGGGACAGAAATCAAAATCAAAAGCCCCAGAAGGTCCAGGAATCGATCAGCCCCCGGAAACGGAAGAAGCTGAAATGTCGAAATGCATCGAAGCCATCCAAAACGTGGAAACAATGTACGGCGACGCCATGAATGTCTTAAACGAAAGAATCGTCGGCCTTGAAAAGGACGTAGGTGTGCTGATGGAGAATAATGGACCTGCAGCAGGTGTCGGAGAAGCGGAAATCAGCGAGATGACTGGAAAATTGCAGACTCTTCAAGCGGACGTAGAAAACATGAGCGAAACCCTGAAGAAGGTCGTCGAAGAGAGAGAATCCAGGGATACCAACTCGAACGTGAATTCCCTAATTTTCAGCTTGCCCCAAAGTTTCAATATTAAATTTCCTGCATTAGCATGAATTATTAATAATAATTTTCTGTATCGCTCGAGCTAGGCCTTGCTGGAGCAGATCGAGCTCTTGAAGACCATCAAGGCGGATAAGGAGGACCTTGAAGACGCACTTGCTGACAAAGCCGATGCCCAGGCGGTCAAAAGAAAGGTCTTCGGCATCTTCTATGAACACGTGAGGAATAATTTTTAATTAGTTTGTTCGTGAAAATGATTGTTTATACAGGTATCTTATGACCGCTTCGACGCTGCATGTGACGACCTCGCTCGAGGCCTTGAAGACGCCATCGGAAAGTTGAGCCAACAAGAGTCCATTTGGCAGCAAGCTTTGGATGAGGTCCAACGTGAGGTCGAAGGGAAACTCGACAAGGTCGAAATCTCACCTTTCAAGGAATTCGTTGACGAGAAGCTGAAGGCCTTGCAGACGAAGCTGAAGGCGCTCTCGGAACTGAAGCAAGAAAACGAAGCTGCGGGGACGAAAAAGATGCTCAGGTGAATTACAGATCTTCTTCGGGATTTTATGATTAACTCTGACCCTCCGATCTACTTCGCCAGGGACGTCCAGTGTTTGTCGTGTGACAAAAACGTGGTTATGAAGATGAGAGAGACTGTGGGTCATCACCCAGAGCCCATGCCCTGCACGAAAAGCATGAAGCCGTACCTGATCTACGAATTGGACAAGTAGGCTAAAGAATATTGTATTTAGATGAAAGGTGATCGAAGCTAGACATCCTTATCAAACACTTTCTTTTGACATAAGGAATAAGTGTTAAAATGTGCTTTTATCTAGAGTACTGGGACAATTTTTCTCTGGTCAAGATGGCGAAATTCGGGTTTTCGCGGATATTTTGAAAACACGTGCACATACGGAGAAATGCTTCCAATAAAAGTTAAAGAGCTTTGAATTCTCCACGAAAAAGGTTCTTTTCGATTTTGTCATAAATCGAATCGTTACGGAGGAAAGTTAGGTGAAATTGCAAGGTAACACTAATACGAGATACTTTGATGCCTCGATTCGAGCGTGAGTTTTACTTAGCTTTAATCCGTAACGATTGAGTTTACAACAAAATTGAAGAGGAACTTTTTCATAGAGAATTTAATGCTCTCCAACATTTATTGTAAGCACTTTTCCGTAGGTGCGCGTCTTTTTCAAATATTCGCGAAAAACCGATTTTTGAGACCTCAACATCCGGCATCCTATGCATGGGCCCTTCTCTGCATTCATTTGTTATGTCAAAAGGAATCGATTCGTGAATAGAAATGTCTTGCTTCAGTCACTTCTTAATTCGGTCATTTTCTGTATACATTTCTTATGCCGAAAAGAATCCGAAACATAATGCCAGAGAGTCGATTTAAAAAAAAAATGTATAGATCAGATCGGTACAACACATTAAAAGGTTTGAAAATAGGCTCCTTCTGCGTCGATACATCGCTTCCAGCGAGATTTCCAAGCATCGAAGGCGGCACGGTAGGCCTCCTCCGGAATGTCCTTTAGAGCCCTGGTGCAAGCCGCTTTGACGTTGTCAACTGTCCCGAAATGATGACCTTTCATGGGAGTTATGTCGGGCCGGATGCGATGAACCCTTCGATTGAGTCTCTTGCGCACTTCCACGTAGAATTTGGCGTTGACGGTTGCACCATGTGGTACAAACTCATGGTGGACGATCCCCCTAACATCGAAGAACACAATGACCATGGTCTTGACTTCTGACTTGCTCATTCTGGCCTTCTTGGGGCGAGGGGACGCCGACGTGTGCCACTCTGCACTTTGCTTTTTTGTTTCGGCATCGTATTCAAACACCCAAGACTCCTCACCTGTAATGACATTGTCTAGAAAGTGGGGGTCACTTTCACACAAGTCCCAAAGTTCCTGGCACGTTTCAACTCGGCGGGATTTATGGTCGTCTGTTAACGGCGTTCACCACCAAAGTGGGGACGATGACTTCCACCGCTAGATGGCATTAGCATCGAATTCGGTGGGAGGTAACCAAAACGTACTTTCTCGCTCGGATGAGGGAGACGCGACGCATAATGGGCAGTGTTTAGCAACGGGCGAAAAATGTGTGTGTATTTTGCACGTATACAACTCACACAACGGCTAGACGCCTCTGGACTAGGCGCCGAAACGTGTGTGACCCTCGGCCGCACGCACACGCAAGTTGGACGCTCCGCCTAGAGTCGGCGGCAACGGTTGCTAAGGAATGCCCAAATTCCTCGCGAGAAACTTGAAAATCCTGAAAAAGTTGCTCCACGGGGACAACGATTTTGAGCGTATTTCTCAACCGATCGAGCTCAACGAGTGCTCGTTTTAAAGATAAAATGTTGACGTGTGTATATATGGGAGCGATTTTCGATCGAGCACCTCCTTCCTAGGGAAAAGGGCATTGAAATTATGTCATTGCACTTTTTTATATGAAAATGACCACTTATCGAAAATCGCTCCCATATAAACACAGGTCAACATTTCATCTTCGATATGAGCACTCGTTAAGCTCGATCGGTTTAGAAATACGTTCGGAATCGTTGTCCCCGTGAGGCCCTGCAAAATCGCTGGAGTGGTGAGCGCCCTTAACACTTTGGGCACCAGCTTCGCGCACACTTTTCGCATCTGCAAATTGTTTGTCACAATCTCGTGAACGGTACTTTTTGGAATGTTTAATGTCTGTGCCACTTACGAACACTCAAACTACGGTCTGAGTTTAAAAGTTCTCTCACATGCGTCAGATTTTCGTCCGTGGTGGTTGTTGATGGCCGTCCAGCACGGGCTTCATCGCTGACCTCTTCACGGCCTTCTAAAAAGGTCTTGTGCCACCGGTAGACTTGACGTTCCGACAAACGATCATCACCAGAGGCCGTCTTTATCATAGGAAAAGTTTCCACTGCGGACTTACCGAGTTACACCCAAAACTTGATGGCAATCCTTTGTTCCAACGAGTGCTGCATTATGGCATGCACGGGAGACGAAAACGCGTTGCACGGAAAAACCTGTCCTTACCCTCCGGGTGGTCGGAGACGACTGACAATGAGCGACCGCGCGTTCAACAACTGACTTCCCGCTTCACCTATCCCAACCAATGCGAGCGCGCTGCGACGTATAGTCGCTTCACAATTAAATCACTGACATTACTTTTAAGACAAATCCTGTATATGAAACGTGAGTTCCGCTACTTTGTGTTTATTGGGTCTTTTTCGATCTCAGAGTCAGAAAGCAGCAGAAGAAACTTCCACACAGTAGAAATCTGCTACACTTCGAGGCAGCCATGCGAGAAGAGATGAAGAAGCTGAAGGCCATCAGGGAAGACACCCCCAGGAGGTCACCAAGGTGCGTCCAGGGTTAACCCTTTCGTTACCTTGGACGAGATATCTCGCGACCCAATACTGGCCGATTAACGCTTTTGACGAGATATCTCGCGACCCGATACTGGCCGATCAACGCTTTTGACGAGATATCTCGCGATCCGGTAGTAGCTGTATTTATTTCTTCCTTTTAGCTATACGAATAGAATTAGTTATAAAATATATTCATCTAGAATGTCAAAATATTGGTGCTAGAAAGCTAGATTATCGTCAAAAGCGTTAATCCGCTACTACCGAATCGCGAGATATCTCGTCAAAAGCGTTGATCGGCCAGTATTGGGTCGCGAGATATCTCGTCCACGGTAACGAAAGGGTTAATATAATTAATTCATATTTTTCTTGTATAATTTTTTCACGATTTAGAGATCATCTCTGCAACCGATACTGCGGAGGGAGCCACACGATAACAACTCCTCAGCAACGAGTCATGAGATTAGGACACTTCTTGAATCAATGGGGTCCTGAAACCATTCAATTGACGGAAGGATTAATTCGTGGCGTAGATGGACAATTTTATCGAGGACGTCCCATGCCAAAATTCGACGTTTGCGGCACTTGCTGCGAACATGACGAAGAGAGTCCCGCACGAGAGGTAATAATTGCTGATACCATTGGTAATAAATATGATATGAATCGAGGACGTCACATGCCGAAATTCGACGTTTGCGGCACTTGCTGCGAACATGACGAAGAGAGTCCCGCACGAGAGGTAATAATTGCTGATACCATTGGTAATAAATATGATATGAATCGAGGACGTCACATGCCGAAATTCGACGTTTGCGGCACTTGCTGCGAACATGACGAAGAGAGTCCCGCACGAGAGGTAATAATTGCTGATACCATTGGTAATAAATATGATATGAATCGAGGACGTCACATGCCGAAATTCGACGTTTGCGGCACTTGCTGCGAACATGAAGAGAGTCCAGCACGAGAGGTAATAATTGCTGATACCATTGATAATAAATATGATATGAATCGAGGACGACCCATGCCGAAATTCGACGTTTGCGGCAGTTGCTGCGAACATGACGAAGAGAGTCCAGCACGAGAGGTAATAATTGCTGATACCATTGGTAATAAATATGATATGAATCGAGGACGTCACATGCCGAAATTCCACTTTTGCGGCACTTGCTGCGAACATGACGAAGAGAGTCCCACACGAGAGGTAATAATTACTGGTATCTGATAATAAATATGATATGAAAGGCGCTGAGAAATTTAATCGAGGGCGATAAATTAAAATTCATCTATGCCCTTTTTGGTGGAAACGTCATTACGAATACTCAAGTGGCAACATGAGATGGCGCGTCGCGTTACCGACATTTATATTTATGTTGAAGACTTTTACAGTCTACGTTGAGAATTATACGAAATGAAGCGTTCCATATGTCATTTCGGTAAAGTAATGATGAAGAGATTGATGTAAACCTGTCGAAATCTCGTGGATTTATGATTTTTGATACCCTAATGGACCGGCATCGCCATCTGTGACGTTTAGCTACAACTACATTTTTGCCCTAATAACACGCGTTACCCACTGGGCAAGCCGACATTCTCTTGCAATCGTTCATTAAAGTATTTTCCATGTTTTCCCATCTGACTCTGTAATATTCCATTTCTATGGTAATCTAAATTGTTCGAGCTAGGTCTTGAAACACTTCATTTTCGATTCTGAGCCTCCAAGAAGCGTAAAACATCGAAAACCTGCAAGGGCCACTCCATGTTGTTTCTAGTCCATGATAAATAAATAAATTTTTAATCAAAAATGAAATTTTATGAGTTTCAGGACCTACTTTAGGGCCTCCATATTCCCGTGGTAGAGTTTGAAACGATTCGGTACAACCAGTTAGGAGAAATTTCACAAAAAAGACATTTTTTATGTCACTTTCTCATTACCTTAAGGAGTTGTGAAAATCGCTTCTGAAAGATCAACCTTTCATGAAACTTTTCTCCGAACTGGATTTACCAAATGGATTCAAACTGTACAACATGAATATGGAGACTATAAGAAAGGTCCTGACACTCATGAAATTTCATTTTTTTTAAATGTTGAAACTATCAATAAACAAATGAAAAAAATTAAATCATATGGGTGTCAAGACCTTCCTTATAGCATCCATATTCACTTTGTGAAGTTTGAAGCGTTTCGGTACATCCAGTTAAGAGAAATTTCATAAAGAAGATACTTTTGACGTCAGTTTCATATCGCCTTAACAGGAATTCAAAGACTTTTCATTTTCTTTTCGTAGGAGGAACCCGAGAGGCCAATTTCCCAGCAAGCGAGCGAGCAAGTTTCCCAAAAGCGAAGCAACCAGACGCGTAAGTACGTTAATAAATTAATATCCTTTGTTATTCAAATTGAACTGACATAAGTCTAAAGAAAAATTTCTAACGCCATCCAGAGAAACAAGCTAGCTCAAGAAAAATGCTGCCTATTGACATGAGCGGGTCCCACGGCCGACAAATGTCGAGTACAAAGGTATGAAATGGTTTTCCACGCCTCCATTTGTTCATAATAATGTTTTTAAATTAAATTGTAGATGCAAAGGCCAGACGAGTCTTCGGCGATTACGATTAAGGAACGAGAAGTGATAAATCTTCCAGACGCTTCCGACATAATCGTTGCAGGTGCTGACAGCAATGTCGAACAAACATTTAACAGAGAGGAGTAATTCGCAAAAAACTAACAAAACAAAGGCCAAATAACATCCGTGGCTAAACAAGTCGCGCAAGATTAAAAGAAATAATCAGTTGACTGAACCAAATACGTATTGTTGCCTGAACCACATATAATTTCAAGAAACAATCACTTACCTAATATGATAAATTGATAATCTTGATTTAATCGAATTTTGATTACTCAATCTAAAATTTCTTCGAATGTATTTGACCACATGATTTTGTTGTCGCATTTTTCTTTGAGTCAACTATTTTTTTTTTCTCAGTCTAATGGAAGGAAAACGTCACTAATTCGTGAGAAATTCTGCTGCGTCCGCGTTCTCCAAAATGGCGTCCGCGTTCTCCGAAATGCACTGAGGATTTTGTTGACGCATTTTTCTTTGAAACAACCATCCTTTTTTTTTCTCAGTCTAACGGAAGCAAAACGTCACTAATTCGTGAGAAATTCTGCTGCGTCCGCGTTCTCCAAAATGGCGTCCGCGTTCCCCAAAATGCACTGAGGATTTTGTCGACACATTTTTCTTTGAAACAACCATCCTTTTTTTTTCTCAGTGTAACGGAAGCAAAACGTTACTAATTCGTGAGAAATTCTGCTGTGTCCGCGTTCTCCAAAATGGCGTCCGCGTTCTCCAAAATGCACTGAGGATTTTGTCGACGCATTTTTCTATGAGTAAACCAGCTTTTATTTTCTCAGTGTAATGAAAGCAAAACGTCACTAATTCGTAAGAAATTGTGCTGCGTCCGCGTTCTCCAAAATGGCGACTACGATGCGTCCTCTCGATGGAAGGCTCGACTCATTCGCATAAAAAAAAATAGGTATCAGCTATCCAGTTAGTATATAGATCAGTGTCGAGATGGCATCCGCGTTCTCCAAAATGGCGGCCTCGACGCGTTCTCCAAAATGGCGGCTACGACGCGTCCTCTCTAGGGAAGGCTCGACTCATTCGTAAAAAACAAATTGTTATCAGCTATCCAGTTAGTATATAGATCAGTGAAGAGATGGCATCCGCGTTCTCCAAAATGGCGGCCTCGACGCGTCCTCTCGAGGGAAGGCTCGACTCATCCGACGTAAACTTATTAAATTTTTATTATTAAGAAGGACTTCCAGAATACACAATACTATCTAATCGGAGTTGAGTTGTGGAACGTCGACGTTCAGCAGCAACAAGAAAAATAATCGACCGCGTTAGTCATGTCGGCCCTTTACCTCTGCGAATTATTGCACACACGTCGGCATTGTCGTTCGTAATCAATATCGCGCGATAAATGAGGAATACTCGTTCATTGGACATGTCAATTTATCGCCGGTTCCTCCTCCTGGTGTCAGGTTCAGCCCCCAAAAAGCTCGGCCTTAATCTCGCGCTTCTAACTCTACATGTATGTATACTTCGGAGTTAAATGCTACCTCATATAAATTATTAAGGTACAGGGAGTATCTACAAGTTGTTAGACGGCGCTACCATGGTACACGACACTGTATAAGTATGCCAAGTGTTACAGAGTATACAGTTTCTACCTCTACTGTTAAGGCGATGCGAAAGTGGCGTCTGAGCTCTCATTAATGAAGCTTTTCTCCGAGCTGGGTGCACCGAATCGCCTGAAACTTGACAATATGAACATAGAGGCTATAAGGAAGGTCCCGACGCCCATGAAATTGCGATTTTTAAAAAATTTCTTTATGGATATTATCAAGATTTTTTATGAAAATGTCAATCTCAAGAGCGTCGGGACCTTCCTTATAGCTTCTATGTTCATGTTGTAAAGTCTGAAACGATTCGATATGTCCAGTTCAGAGAAAAGTTTCATAAGCGATTGAGCTTTCAGATAGCACTTTGACGCCCCCTTAAGAATAAGTACCTACGCCACTTAAGACTAAGTCAACGCACGGACTCTCGCACGCGGCCATCTTGGTTAACTGCGCGACGCTGTTAATGCAATGTCAAATAAATAAATAAATAAATATATGTCATATATCTATATATATTTATATATATGTATGTATATATATATACGTATGTATAGATTATAGCGTCTGTAGTCGCATGCTACCTGGGACCAATAATATCTTAAACCTTAGCCGGATATGCATTATCGATTACAATTAATAATACTGGCAGCTTAAAGTACGAGTGCGTAATTACGAATCTTTATCATGAGCTTAGCATATCTCGGGTCGAAAACCGGAGAACCTGGTACGAAATTCTGGCCGGAATATTATTTTACATTAAATGTTACGACGTTTAAGGTTATACGAAAGTGATATCAAAGAGGTCTTGTTTATGAAACTTTTCTTCGAATTTTTCATTAATGAACTGTTTCAAACTTTACAACGTGAATGTTGAGGCTTTAAGGAAGGTCCTGACACCTATGAAATTTCAATTTTTTAACAATTTGTTTATAGATATCTTACAAATTTTTTATAAAAAACGAAATTTCATGGGTGTTGCGGCCTTCCTTATAGGATCTATATTTGTTTTGAGGAAGTTTGAAACAATTCGGTACACATAGTTCGGAGAAAAGTTTCATAAACAATTGACTCCTCAGATGTCACTTTCATATCCCCTTAAGGTGATGTAAAAGTGAAACTTTTCTTCGAATTTGTTGTACCGAATGGTTTCAAACTTTACAATGTGAATGTTGAGGTTAAAAGGAAGGTCCCGACACCCGTAAAATTTCAATTATTTAAAAATTTCTTTATGAACATTTAAAAAATCTTTTTTAAAAATTGAAATTTCACGGGTGTTAGGACCTTTCTTATGCGCTCTATATTTATCTTGAAAACTTTGAAACGATTCGGTAAACCCATTTCGGAGAGAAGCTTCATAAACGAGAACTCTTTGACGCCACCTTGACATCCCCTTAATAACGCATCACTCGGCGGGGTGAAACGATTTTTATTTCGTAAAAAAAATCAGCGACGCTTGTAAAAAGTTCTACCATTCTCCAGGATCTCGGATTTTTCACCCATCGAGTATCGGTGTTAATCGAGAAAAATGATTAATGCGAGAAAGCTGCGAAAAGAAAAGAAAAGAAAAGANATAAAAAAGAAAGTTCTTGAATTTCGCCTGTGAAAACTGCATATAACCCTTTAAAAAAGGAGAACCCTCGTCGAGCGGGTCGCCATTTTCTGACCATTTTCTGACAAAATGGCCACCCAAGGTCGTTTGCACATGTACCATTAAATTTAAATTTTTGGACGCACCATGGACGTAAAATATATGTATGATATACATAAGCATTCCCTAGACATTTTTGATAAGGCGGTGAGAAAGAAAGCGACATATGGTACCATCCTTTCTCTAAATAAAATATATTTTTTATTCACTTTTAGGCAGTCGCCGCCATTTTGCAACCTGCAATTAGTTTCCCGAAAAAAATTTAAATTTTTGAAAGCACCATGGACGTAAAATATACGTACGATATACATAATCATTCCCTAGATATTCTTGATAAGGCGGCGAAAAAGAAAGCGACATGCGGAACTATCTTTCTTCCAAAAGAAAAAAGATCTTTTATTCACTCTTACGCAGTTGCCGCCATTTTGCAACCTGCAATTTGTTTCCCGAAAAAAATTTAAATTTTTGTACGCACCATGGACGTAAAATATACGTACGATATACATAAGTATTCCCTAGATATTCTTGATAAGGCGGCGAGAAAGAAAGCGATATGTGGAACTATCTTCCTTCCACGGGTGTTAGGACCTTTCTTATGCGCTCTATATTTATCTTGAAAACTTTGAAACGATTCGGTAAACCCATTTCGGAGAGAAGCTTCATAAACGAGAACTCTTTGACGCCACCTTGACATCCCCTTAATAACGCATCACTCGGCGGGGTGAAACGATTTTTATTTCGTAAAAAAAATCAGCGACGCTTGTAAAAAGTTCTACCATTCTCCAGGATCTCGGATTTTTCACCCATCGAGTATCGGTGTTAATCGAGAAAAATGATTAATGCGAGAAAGCTGCGAAAAGAAAAGAAAAGAAAAGAAAAGATGGCGGCAACTGAGTTGCGCAACGTGGCGTCGAAGGAAATGTTTCCTTTTCCTTTTCTCTTCATTCTTAGGCGACTGTATAATTAAAATCTGGTATATTATTGGCCGACGATTATGAGCGTGATAATTTTCAAGTGTTTACACATCTGCCGATACCCGCTCTATCGGAATAATTAATAATTGCGACTTCTCGTCATACCGATCCTTATTAGTTATTGTTATACCACGGACGTTTCCTCCTCGGCTTATCATAGCCGACAGTTAATTAATGGCGAGTCGCACGATTATTGCACGTCGAGGACCTAACGAATAAAGGACTCAATGGAATGATAACAGATCACAGGCGAAACTAGGCTAATCCTCTGTAACAAATTAATATCACATGACAAAAATATGTATCGGTATATATGGTTGCCCCCAAGTACCTAAGGAGCAGCACACTTATCAATGAAAATAATTCCTTCGGAATCATTTTACTAAATTAATTAATTCCAGTTTAGGCGAGGCATGGATAATGGACGACGAGGAAGAAAAGAAATAGAAACAGAAGATAGATACTTACAATTAGATATGATAAGGTGATATGAAAGTGGCGTCAAAGAGGTCTCGTTTATGAAATTTCCCTCCGAACAAGGTTTACAGAATCGTTTCACAGTTTATAATGTGAAGACGGAGGCTCTAAGGAAGGTCATGGTACTCATGAAATTTAAAATTTTTTTACAAAATTATTTATAGACTTAACATTTTTTTAAAAAACGAAATTTCGAACGCCAGGACCTCTCTTACAAACTTCACATTGACGTTGTAAAGTTTGGAACAATTCGGTAAACCCAATTCGGAGAGAAGTTCATGAACCCTTCGTGTACAACTTTCGCATCTCTTTAAGGTGATATGAAAGTGGCGTCAAAGAGGTCTCGTTTATGAAATTTTCCTCTGAACAGGGTTTACCGAATCGTTTCAAACTTAATAACGTGAATATGGATGCTATAAGAAAGGT